CTGAAAAAGTTTTTGCTAAATTTTTACAAAGCTATAAATTTATCTTGTAATTTTTCGCGTAAAAAACCTCCAGATCGTCAGTATTTTTAAGTGAAACTCTACAAAATATAGCGTCTTTGAGTAGAAGGTAAAGCAAAAAAAAATCAGTTCAAATTTTTTTTAACAAACTCTACAGTCTTCAGAGGTATGGAGGTGACGAGATTTCCAAATAATCTGTAATAAACTTTCGCTAATTCTGTTCATTTTTTGATAGAAAATTATTTGAATTTTGTTCCAAATTCGAAACTGGGAAGGGATTTCAAAACTTTTTACAAAGCGACGAAGGATTCGAAATTTATTTCATAACTCTTCGCGTAAAATACCTTAAGATTGTCAGCATTTTTAAGTGAAACTTTAGAAAATTGAGCGTAACTTGGCTAGAACTGTAAAATTCTGAAATTTTGAAGAAATTTTAAAAATATTATTAATAAATGGCCCTTAAAATAAATCTAAAAACAAGTGAAAAAGTCATTAACATTTTCCCAGCAACGGAACTGAGTTACTGCGCCGGTGCGTTGGGTTGGCTTAGTACTGTGCCAACTCCTAAAAATTCACTGAGTTACCCAGGCCTACTTTGGTAGTAAAAGTGTCTTCCAGGCTGAAGCAGTCTTGACTGGATATTTTGATAAAGATGTTTGTGAGCGAAGCCTTTTTTTCACGTCTATTATTCTGGGCGAAATTTATTGGTGAGAAAAGAAAGAGAGTTAAAGGTAAGAAATTTAAGTTATAGATAGATATAGTGCTGTAAGGGCTTTTTAGATGTATAAGGAAACTGTGATTTTGATGAGTTTACCAACAATGTAAAAAGAAAGTTGTGACTTAGAAATGGGCTACCATGAGACACTGTTTTGAGGCCACTTTGGGGCCAAAAAAATGTCTTCAAATTTACAGTAATTGTGTGCTTTCCACCGTTACAAACCTACGTAAATAAATGCAATTCCGGCCAGCTAATCAACTTCTCTGGACGTTCATGTGAAGTGTTTGGGAAAAAACCTCTGACTTTTTTCGTCTTGTGGTGGCCCACTCTCCCCTACTGTTGCATGAAGCTTATAGCACTAATATCTGTTTTCTTGATATTTGAAGTGAGTTATTTTGTTCTATTGATACTTTTTGAGAGATAGATTAGAGCAGATAAGATTAATTCAATTTGTTGTCTGTTCTACCAGCGACTAAACACGAGTGCTTTGTATCTGAATGAACCAGCTTCGATTGCATTATGTTAGTTTAACACGGGATTAATGCCGATGGCAGGCAAATATCGATTACCTTAAGCTTCAAGGAAAGTATCAATTTTTCAGGCAGCAAGGTTAGTGGAAAAGGTTGGAATCTTTCACGCATCGCCTTATCCAAATCTACTAACCAATAGAGTTGCGAAATTTGCAAAAGTCCATGATCGCCACTGCCTGGATTCATCGCTCCAGTGTCGTAGTTGGACTCGTGGCGCGCAATGCACACCCATGTGCCAATTTCCTCTTCGGGTACATCAAAGTTCCTCAGCTCCTTAACTAGATCGCACCGGCGGTAGATTTTTCCGGCCGCTACCAGCCAGATCGACACCCAGATCCATACGCGTACCAGCACCATGGTCGAACTGGGCGCTTCAGAGCTGAATGGTATGCTTTATACGGGTCATTTGTAATACCCGTTTCTGGTACCGCTCGAAGGCATATGATGGACGGGCAGAAGATTCACTAAGTGCGTTGAGGTTTGGTTGGGAGGTGCATCGACCTCTTGGTCTCAATTTCGCCGGACGACCGCCACTCCTTTATGGCTACAACCTCATTGCACTGTCGATATACATACATATAGGCAGTTAACGTAAATTTCCTTTTTTAAACGTTGGCGTTATTCAATGCACAGATTGTATGGTTTTCCAAGAACGCTTTTGCTGGTTGTCGCTATGTAGAGCTTATTGCAACCACGCCAGCCTGTTCCCAGGCCAGATTCTCTTGGAATATTGAAGCTTAAGCTCCGCCCTTGTTACCTTGACATGTTGTGAGGTCCAAAACACCATCATACAAACAGCCCACGTCGCCATCGAAGTTCCGAGTGTGGTCGGTGCAGAAGCATGCGTTTTTGGACGTGTTAAACGTACTTTTCAACGCCTCATACCTGTTGCCCTTAATCAAGCCCACCATGTCCCGCCTGGAATACTCGAAGGAAACCGTCCTGAAGCAGAAATTGTCGCGTCGCTTCACAGTGGATAACTTAACGATCCCAAGGATAAAGTGAAGTAAATTTAGGCCTATCCCGTATTATTAGTACCTTTACTTTACTCTGTCGTTGGGCCACCCTGTACCTGCAAATGTCTTCAGAAAACGACTGAAACGTGGTGTCGACCCCGACGCCAGTGGGAAACACTGTGGTTAATCCAGACACCCGATTGCATTGAAATTGGTCCTTCGACCAGACATTGAGCGTGGTCTGGTGGTCCAGTTGGGTAATTTCCCCAATTGTCGCATTCTTCTGTCCAGCAGCCACTGTGATGTATCCCTGATGGCTGTTGTTCCTCTGTGTGTACACAAATAAAATATACAGAGTGTCTCGTGAATCTTCCGCAATACTCCACCTGATGAAAGGTCCATCTTTAAGAGAACCAAGAACACCAAGTGACAAGTTAAACTATTTTTTTTGTCAAAAAAGATAGACTTTTGAGACCATTCCTTGAAACTAATGGGTTTTTAGGCCGTCGTTCGGTAGAGTTCGTTCTTGACGTTTCGCAAGCACGAGTGGCTTACATCTTCAGAAGTGGTTTGCTTGAACGCTTGCACTGTTCAGATGTGTGTCACATCAGAACAGTGTAAGCTTAAAAACCCGAAAAACCCATTAGTAATTTTTTTTTGCATTTTTGATCATCAAAAGATTTTGAATGAATTCGATGGATTGCAAAACACTTTTTAATGCGCATTCCTTATAACTCCGTTTCTTTTGTCTCGCTGTTGCTTCCTACTGTAGCAACAGGAGGGAATCCAACTTTAGGTCAGGGGGGGGCATGTAGAAAAAATACTTCGTCTTCTGTTGTTTATGAACTTAGAAAAATGATCGTCGTTTTGTGCAAGGGTGACGCAAGATTATTGCAAAATTTCATGTTTTCCGTCCCGTTTTGCACGTTTCTCGGAAGCAAAATGAGCAAGAACGCTCGTTTTTACATCATTCCAGAGATAACTAAATGGCCTTTATTCGAATATTTCTCAAGAACCATTCGATCCGAACGAACAGAATTCGGGCATCGTTAGATAGAGAATTGAAAAGTCCATTCAGTCGTAATAACGTTAGTGAGGAAATTCGAGTAGTTTTGACCCAGAAAGCGAAATTTGAATATCAAACACATAGGTTCAAGATTATGCCAAAATTCCATGTTTTCCGTCTCGTTTTTGCAAAAATCTCGGAGGCAAAATGAGTAAGAACGCTCATTTGTACATCATTCTAGAGATAAATAAATGGCCTTTTTATAAAGTGAACCGTCGATAAGCAAATGTTGGCAGTTTTCTCAAAAAATACTTGAATTCAAGAAGTTTTAGATTTGTGTGGTTTTTTTTTTGAGTTACAAAATCCACTTGAACATGACGCTGCTTTTTTCGAAGTTTCTCAAGAACCATTCTAGCCACAGAATTCGTTTTGGCATCGTTGAATAGAGAATTGAAAACTCGATTCAGTCGTAACAAAGTGAGTGAGGAAATTCGAGTAGTTTTGACCCAGAAAGCGAAATATGAATATCAAACACTTAGGTTGAAGATTATGCCAAAATTTCATGTTTTCCGTCCCCTTTTTGCTCATATCTCGGAGGCAAAATCAGCAAGAACGCTCATTTGTACATCATTCTAGACAGAAATAAATGGCCTCTTCAGAAAGTGAATCATGGATAAGAAAATGTTGGCAGTTTTCTCAAAAAATGCTTGAATTCAAGAAGTTTTAGATGTGCGTGGTTTTTTTTGAGTTGCAAAATCCACTTGAACATGACGC